CAAATTGTATTAATATGTAAAGACCAAGTGTAACCTATATCATCGTTAAATCTTATCTTATAAAACCAGTGGAACTTCAAAATCGTTAAAATTCATGGCTCCCAACTAATACATATACGTAGGCCGAAGGATTGTGTGAGAATAAGAGTTAAGGTGAAAAGTGTAAGAAAAGATCCCGATTAATCTCAAACTCACTCATGAATCACGTTTGATATATTTTAGAAAAAAGTTATCCAGGTTTTAAACACATAAACATACTTCAATCAGATCAGAAGAAGACATAATTTGGTTTTACGTACACAAATAACACGAAGGGGGGGTTCGCCAGATGGTGGTTATGGGTTTGAGGTTTTACATACACAAACACAGACTGAGGTGGGTTGCAGGAGAAGAAGACGACAATTATGGTTATAGGTTTGGGGTGCAAAAATGCACATTCAGAAGTTGAGAAAAAGTGGTGGTTATGAGTTTGAGGTTTTACACAAATAAGCACACCTGGATTGTGTTGTCGAAAAAGAAGATATTGGTGGTTAAATGACAACCATGCCCTTTTTAATTGAATATTGTTTTTCTATGAGAATATCCAAATGATCAAATTACTTGGATAAGTTTTCTGTAATAAAAAAAATATTTGTGATTCTCACTCTTTCTCCCTCTTGTCTAATCAAATCAAATGAGAACTATATAGTTTATGATAATCATGATATATAATGAAAATAATTCATTTGAAATATTTATGGATATTTCTTAAATAAATTAAAAGGATAACTTAGTCTTTTTATTTATAACAACTCATTAAAAGATCTAATTAATTTTTGTAAGCAAATATATGTATATTGTCTTTTAAAGATATTTATGGATCAAAGTATATCACACTGATAAATTTTTTACAATATATTTTCATTGTTTTATAAAGTGTTTTACAGTATCATTTTTGTTATTTTAGAAAGGATATCACAATGTGTATTTTAGTTGTTTTACAAAGATATCACAGTGTGCATCTTGTATGTATATATGGATATCACACTGAATATCGTTCGTATATATTTTTAACGATATCTTTTTAGGTATCGTATTATGTATATTGTGTTCGCATAAGGTTCGTCAGAATAAGCTTTATTGGAATAAAGTTCGCCGGAGAGAGAAGAGAAGAGATTTTTAAAATCTAAAAGATTACTTTAATTAATATTTCAAGTTAAAATTACCATAATTACTAATTTTCTAATTTAAATTTTTGATTTGTGGTTGAGATTGGATCTCACAGTTATTGCAAATTACTGAGTTCTTCCTTAAATAACCCCATATATATATATATATATATATATATATATATATATATAGAGAGAGAGAGAGAGAGAGATAGAGGAGCGATCAAATACAAACCGTGCAAACCACCCTCATCCGTCGATTTCGTTGTTTAATCTTATAAATTTTTTCATGAAATTGTTTAATCTTGTTAAAAATTTTCATATAATACTTTTTTTGATGAAGTTGTTTCATATATGGTTATGAAATTGTTTCATATAATACTTAATGAAATTTTAATGAAATTGTTTCATGTATTTATCTAAAAATTAAAATAATGAAAATGATAATATCCATGATTAACACCCTCCACAATAAAAATRATTAATCAACCTCTCATAAATACAAAAAAATGAACAAAATGAAAAATTATGATTGGTTGAATGAAGTTTGTACGGTTTGTACAAATAACGTGGTTTGCAAAGTAAACCTTTCCTCTCTCTCTCTCTCTCTCTCTCTCTCTCTCTCTATATATATATATATATATATAGGGGCACGTTCAAATGAAAACCGTGCATTTCTAAGAAACCTTGTAAACCAATTTCGACCTATAGGAAAATTCATTTTTTTTAATTAAATTTAATCAATAAGGGTATTTCGGTCATTTACAATATTTTCTATTAAATATGGAAGTTATTAATAAATCTTAATTAAGAAAATGTAATAAAGAAAATTGTATAAATGGTAACATTTAAATATTTAATTATATTAAAATATTAAAAATTTGGATTTCATATATTGTCATGAGTTATAATCAGGAAATATGTCTTGATGAAACAATTGAATTATAGAATGAAATCATCAAAACATAGATGAACAAAAAAAAAATCCACAAAATGAAACAGGTTTCATGAACCTGAAACCGGTTCATGTTGCAAAGAAATTAGGTGAACCGAAACATTTTTATGGTGAACCCGTTGCATTGATGATGTAGTTAATCCTTTTTTTATGAGAAGCAAAATGAAACCGGTGCATTATGAAAAAAATTATGAAAAGGAAAATGAAACAGGTTTCATGAACGTAAAACCGGTTCATGTTGCAAATAAATTAGGTGAACCAAAACATTTTTATGGTGAAACCGTTGCATTGATGGTGTAGTTGATCCATTTTGTTGATGAAAAGGAAAATGAAACCGGTGCATTTTGAAAATAAATTATGAAAAGGAAAATGAAACAGGTTTCATGAACGTAAAACCGGGTCTTGTTGCAAATAAATTATGTGAACCGAAACATTTTCATGGTAAAATGAATTTCGTTCATATAATGTATTTCAAAATTTAAAACGATTCACTCCATATAATTAAATATGGTGTGTTATATTCATTTTTTTATATGTTTTATTGATTGATGTGATTTAAAGTTAAAAATAATATATTGTTTTAAAAAATGAAAATAGTGTCATTAATATCGAGAAGAATGTTACCAAATGTAATCAAGAAAATGGATGGATGAGATTGGTTTATACGATTTACACAAATGGGGCAGGTTTTTATTTGAACGCTCATATATATATATATATATATATATAAGGCATCTTCAAATACAACCGTTTCGAATGTTACAACCGTTACAACCAAGGGTATTTAGGTCTTTTTCTAAAATTCATATTTTTAGGAATAATTAACTTTCTTAAATATCTCATATAGTAATATCAAATAAAATCATATGTATCTTAAAAATTATTAATTCCTTATATATCAAATAAACTATGATTTTAAATCTTCTAGTTTTTCAAAAACTAATCACAAAAGACTTTGAAACCATATATGAAAAAAAATCATATTTTTTCATATAAGAAACCATATACAAAAATGATCAATATGTGAAAATTTCATATGCAAAAATGATCCATATACAAAAATTTATCATTTTTTCATATATGAAAAAAATATACAAAACCGATCCATAAATGAAAGTCTTCATCACTTTT